AACACATCATAGCGGCGACAAGGTCACGCGTCTATACTACTTCTATTGTATTTTGATTTCTGTGGTCAGGATCGTGCCAAATGGAAGTCCGTAGTCATTGCTTACCCCACTGGGTGACAGGCGTGAGTGTTTATGTATGTACTTATACACACAAAAGATCAAATGGGATTTAAAGAAATATTTCTCAGAAAAAGATTATCGTATGGAATAAAACAAAAATACTTTTGTCCCAATGCTGGGCACGGACGAGAAACGGCTTGGTAGCGCAGTGGCTAAGTGTTTGTTTGCGTGCTAATGCTAAGGGCCGCAGGATCAAATCCCGCACTGATCAAATTCTACGAACTACGAATAATTGTTCTGGCTCTAGATGTTAAGTATATGTATAATTTAACTATGTGAAACGCCAACACGATGTTGGAGAAATTACTTGTGACTGATATATAAAGTGAGAAAAATATTTATTTACGAGTATAATATTATCCACTATTGACGGGGAATTAAAACCGTGGAACCGTTAAGTTTTCCACACCTACTTTCTAATATATTATTTTTCTAAACCAATCAGACCGGAACACCGAAATAAATTTACCGCTGCCCAGCGGCAAAAAAATTCACTCGAGCGAAGCCATGGGCAAAGCTATTAGTTCAAACAAAATGGAAACAGAAGATAATATTCAGTTTCATAATTCCAAAAAATGTTATCAAACCTCTTTATATATTTTATTTAATTACTAGCTGTGCCCGCGACTTCGTTCGCGTGGAATCAGTACTTTTGCTATTCTAAGTGATGATTATTTATTTCAAAATTAAATCGTGAAGAATCACACTAATCTGAATAAAAAAAATAAGTTTGTCGGTCAATCAGACAAACAAAAGATGAACAAATAAACGGACCCACAAACGGACCACGAAACGAATAAGGAAAACTGTACACTTGGTTGTTATTTAAATTTACGTTTGTGTTTTTTTTTTGAAATAAAAAACAAAATGATCGCAATAACGCAATCCCCAATTTGCTCCCGAATTTCTCGAGCAAGTACTTGGTTTCCTTAAAACAAATAAAAGATTACCCAAAATAATCAAGCACCGTCACCAATTATTGATATTAAATAAAAAATAAATGAAAACTACAATGCAATGCCTACCTAAACTAAGTACCTACACTAACAAAATAAATGAAATTGCGTAAGTATCTATATTTTTGGTATCTATAGTTTTATTTTTCATTTGTTTGCATAACAAATGAGAAATAAAACAAAACTCAACCTAGGAAAGTTTGCGTTTGCGTTTGCGAAGATTTGCGTTGAGAGTTTCGTCAATACAAACAGCAGTACCAAAAGGGCTCGGTTTTTTGCACATTTAAAAACACATTAGTATTATTTTACTTCTATCTAAGGATTTAAATTTTCCAAAAAATTCTTTCTTAGTTGATACTTACTTAATAAACGAAAGTTATTGTTACAATTTCACACATCTACGTCCAGCAGTTTGAGCTGTAGACTACAATATTTTTCATACAAAATTTGCACCCTTGTAAAATTTTTTTATTTAATTACTTTAGAGCATTAAGTATTTTCCCTACAAATTGAACATTATTTACCCTCTTCTCCCTCCCCAGGTAAGGGGTTTTTTAAGACATACCAAAATATTTTATATCCGTACAAAATTGCACGCCCTCTGCCCCTGTCTCCTCTACCATAACGGGTTATTTTGAAATCGAAAAATACATATCCATTTATTTTTTAAGTACACTACTCTCAGTACAGTATTGAGTTTTTTAATAAAATAATAAACTTTAACACCCTTATTTCACACTCTTAGTGAGCGAATTTTCCAAAATGATTTCATAGCGCATTTCTACGCCATAAAAGCTACTGTCCATATTTTAGATTTCTACTTCAAGCGACTTAGGTTGAGCTTATGGGCTGGTAGATGAGTTAGTATCTCAGTATAGTATATTATCTATGACTCAGTATAAAAAGACTATATAGTAGATACACAGTGAACAGTGAAATCTGTCGGTAAATAGCAAAACTGACTTTACGGTAAATTAAGTTGTATTCTGTTCGTTTTAACTGTCGAGTATAAATGAAAATTTATAAACGCTATATGCAAACGAAATTAAAAAAAATTCTGATATAAAATAAGAGTTTCGCCTAATCTTAAGTACCTATTAACTTAGCAAATAAAAACATAAATTAATAATATGCACTTTATTACTAATTCATAATGTTAAAGTTAAGAGAACAAATGCCTCAGGATGGCACTATGGACTCTTCCCTACTCTAAGAAGTATGAAAAAGCCTCTACCCAGCCATGGACCATATTATATTGGCTATATATTATAATATATAACCCGCTTCTTCGCTTCCATAATCGGATAAAGCGTGCGTGATAGGTCGTGGAAACTATGCCAAATAAGAGACAATCTATGGGGAGGCCTGTGCTAAGCAGTGGAGTATAAAATGCCGTAAGGGGTATTGGATAAAAGTATGAAACTTATACTATTTGCTGGTCCAATACAAATGTTGAGCTGAAAGCAGCAAGCAAAGTAGTTATTTACATATTATGTATGTATCTTTGATATCTCGCTTGTAATTAAACCCTATGGTGCTTGAAAATACTCATAGCGCCATCCGTAAAAAAATATAGTAGTTAATTTATTATTACAGTAAAATAAAAATTATATGATACGTACCTATTTAGAAAATAACACGTAAAAATAATATAAAAACAACTCAGAATCGGGTAACATAATTTTCAATTTCACGACAGTGTAAATTTTAAAAATTTTTGGAATTGCGGAAGGGAAGTACAGTGGAACCCCGGTAATCCGACAAACATGTTGCCGGACAATGGAATTTGTCGGATTGTAGAGTACTGCCTAAGGAATTTTTTACAAAAGAGTACCTTGTAATCAGACAAATTACAGATCCAATGATAGATTCAATATGTTATATATATGTACTCTGAAGTACAAATCATACTTCATTACATATATAAAATTTAGTAAATTAAATAACACAATAGAGAGCTTACGTTTTATTATAAAATTAACGTCATTAAAGCTATAGAACTGACAAAAATATGCAATAACTTTACATTAGGAGATATTTGTGTACAAACAAATGTACATAGATACTAAAATAATCAAGAATTATGGATCAATCAATTTAAGAAGCTTCAATACAAGAGCTTTATCAAAAAGCAATAACGCTTTTTGAGGAAAATTATGATCTTACAACCATTTTTAGAACCCTACGCGTCGAGCACAGTAGTGGTGGGGCGTACAAGTTATAACTTGTTCAATTAGATATTAGCAAAGATTGTCAAAAAATATTCAATAATAAATAATAGACCATGTCGGACTACAGGGGGGTGCCGGATTAGACAGGGGCCGGATTACCGGGGGTCCACTGTATAACATGCCTAATGCTAAGCTCCTATGATCTGCACTGAAACCAAAGAAATTTTTAATAGCCCTTTTAAAATTTGATTTACCATGTTGTAGGCACTCGGCAGTTAAGAAAAAAAAAATATAAGCAAACCACATGCAGATACACAACACCATCTATCGATAATATTGGTTAACTATTGTACATTTTTCACTGATATATTAGGGTTTATTGTTGATCTAAGGGGTTTATGTACTATGATAAATATTTATTACGTTATTCTTAATTATTTTTGTTTACTGCGTTTAGATATAATTATATCATTATAGAATAATATTTTACATTATTTAATAACAAAATGCCCATGATCACTCTACGCCACCGTTGAACAAATACTTACCTGTACTTCGTGCCCATACTTGAAAATATTAATTATAACTTTTGATAGGATGAACCGATTTTAATAAAACAAAAACAAATGTAAAACGAAGATACGCTTCACAACTTTCGTAACAATTATTTTGATATAAATCAGTACTTTATACATAAACAATATACTTCACAAACACGTTAAATAACAAAGAGACAGACAGACATGAAAATTCAAAAAATGAAAGAAATGTATTCAATTACTTATTTTTAGTCATCAATCAATTTTGTTACAAAAATATAAAATGTACAGACATCTGCAATTTACAATTTTATTATATGTATATAGAAGATTTATCTTTCGATTTCGTTGATTCGTTATTAGGTACCTACCGACAATAAAAAATTAAAACAAGATAATTGTGATAAATACGTAAGAAAAATATGAAATAATTGTAAGCACATAAGGTTACAATGTCAATACATATTTTGCAGATAACTTAGATATAAAAGCTCCCATCTTAAGGGGAAATATAACCACAAATGGCTTAGCAAGATCCTCCGTAATGCCGAAAGTATTGAAGCATTAATTTTGAAATAAATATATGGTAAAGTTGAGGATTAATGTTAAGGACTATGTTAGACGAAAACACGTATCCGTAAAATTTTCTCGATAGAAAAAAATCCAAAGTTACCTCTAAACCGAACAATAAGCCGCTGTTATTCATAAAATACTTTAAATAAGATCATGAAACTTTGCATACTAACTGAACTAACTATAAAGCAGTGCTTATGTTATTCACTTTTTTTAAATACCATTATTTTCACTGTAAAAAGAAATTACCTAAACTATCGGCGTCTTGAAGCTAGATTGCTTGATTCCTGTCGCCCCCGTTGGTATCGCTTAGGCTTTTGAAGGGAGAAGTTGTGTCGCTTACGATAAGAATACACATTACGCAGCAGGACGACGTAAAATTAAAATGGGAAATAACCGTGATAAAAATAAGAAGCGACTGGGTTGGCGTTAAGAAACAGGCATAAATATGATAAACCTAATTAAATAAGTATCTAACGACCTATCTACTTACAGTATTAGTGATTACAAACATGTTGGTACATAGTATACGACGTGCGGGGAAGTGGGGGCGAAATTAGAATTTGAGCTGACTTACTATATCCCCTTAACTGATGGTTTAATTACTCTGAAATACCTCGACCCATTTGTACGTTGGAGATATGGCATTCAAAGTGAGTATAAAATTTATTTATTTCTTTATTTTAAAAATCTTTATCAAGAATCCAGACAACCCATGGCGTGGTGAGAAATTAATGGCAGGTGACTTAAATAACTAAGCATAATAAATTTATATAAATATAACACATATTAAAATAAGGCTTGTAAATTACACAAATGCATATGAATATAAACGCATAAATAATAATCCATATATAACAATTATCTTTAATACTTATGTACAAATATAATTATATATATATGTATATATATTTTTTTTGGGGAAATCTAATTTGGTGCTCGTACTTTCTTGTCGTAACGTGTCTTCACGTAAGGAGTTCCAGAGTAGTATAGTAAAAACTTTTTACTAACTTTTTACTGAAAGTTAGTGACAGCGACATGATTTACGTTGACTTCATTTAGTAGTTGGGTTTTCGATTAGCGTTATTGATTGTTCAAGGTCAACTTAGCTAAGCCTAAAGGAGTCTATATGGACTGATGATGTAGGTTATGTCCCGGTTAGAACCGTTAGAGAGCAAGTATAATTATGGGCTATGAAACATTGAGTTTGTGCAGGAATGATATGACTTCATTTCTCCTTCCGTTCCATCACCAGACAAGCAGATATTCGTCCAGTCTAGTACGCATTACGAGGAGGTAGGTCGAGAGGAGGTCCCGGAGGTAGCCAAGGCGGCTTTAATTCAGGTGGCCAAGGAGGATTTGGACAAGGACATCAAGATGGTTTTGGTCCTGGAATTCAAGGAGATTTTGGTCCAGGAAATCAGGGAGGTTTTGGACCTGGTAACCAGGGAGAATTTGGACTCGGTGGCCAAGGCGGTCAGGGAGGATTCGGTGGACAAGGTCACGGATATTAGTTTGTAATGTTTATTAATAAAAACAAAAATGTATTAACCTTTTTTTATTCCTCATTTTGTTTATTGAATGCCTTCGAATAACTTAAAATTGGGATTATTGGAGTAAATTATTTTAAAGCAATGTTTTATCGTTTAAATCAGTGATTCCCAAAGTGGTATATATCGACCCCTAGGGGTCTGTAACAACCTGCAAGGGGTCTGCGTCAGCGAAAAAAAATTTGGGGGTCCATGAAATGAAAATTGGTGTCCACGATAGTGGATATCAACACATACATTGATAGTACCTATTTACTTACATCATACTATCTTATAATATCGAAACATATACATTATTTATAAAAGTACCTATGAAGTAAAAAAAATATTATATATGTTTATAAAATTGTGTAAGTTGTAGGATGTTGGTATTCGCTTTGTGGTCGCAATACATTTTGAACTTGTAAAAACCTGAGAGTCGCAGTCTCAGAGCTTCGTTACCTTGCACTGACTTGTTCAATTCGTCACTTAAATACGAATGTGAGACAAATACGTTTATTCGTTTCCTGAATCTTGAAAAGGAAAGTGCTAAGAAAATATTTGAAAAAATATAAACAGATAGTATATCACACAAATTATAGCGAGTCAGTGTTATTTTGTTTGAGAGTGCTGGAGAAAAGTAAGTACATTATTGTTGGCGACCCGTCTATAAGAATATTTCAATTTATTAGTTAACCGATTACGAACAGCTTCTAAAAACAAATTATCGAGCAATAATATTCTAATAAGAAAACACTTAGTTGAATCTTAAAGAAATATCGAATTAATAGTTTGAAGGTCTTGGGTTCGATTCCCAGGCCGGACTAGTTTGTCGTTTTCTTAGCAATATTTTCTTAATAAATTCATATAGGGAATTTTTAAGATATAAATTATGTTTTCGGGTTCAGTTCCCCGGTTGAAATCACCTTTCCAATAATGTTAATTTAAAGGAATATTAAAATAAAGTTAGAGACCAGGATTTGTTCCCCGGTCGAAATGATCACTTTGTGAGTAAATAGAATTAATGGAAATTAATTGCATAAGTATTATCTTATATGACTTTGATACGTTTTGTATGAAAACAAAATGTTTGTTTTCAATTATTGATTCATAAAATATTTTGTCTATGTTATCTGATAAGAGACATGATAACTGATAAAAATCTAGTTATAAATAATTTCCTACAATTTGGGAGTCGTGTAGAATCAGTTGTTCACCTAGTATTGGTTGATAGCCGTGTGTGCTAAATTTGGCATTTTTGCCGACAATTGAAAGTCGTGTGAGAATTAATTGTTCAAATAGCGTGAGTTCATAGCCGCACGTTAACTTAGGAGGTCAAAATAAGTAGAAATAATTAAATATTTGCAAATTTCAGCAATTTATGTAAAATTGACTTGTAAAATATTCTAGATTGACTGTATGAACAAAATAGGTGAATCCTGTGTTATTTTCATGTGAAAATTCCTTTGGATTAGTAAAATACTGATAGTTTTGTGTAACAAATTTAAAAGTGTTTTTAATAGTAAAATGAATAGGAAAAATGTAAATTAAACTATTGTATTAGTTAAGATATTTATAATTTCAAGTGAAGAACATTGTTTCAACCTTTTTATGTTGGATACTTAAGAATTCTAACTTGGTGCATATGTTGTAAAATGGGCATATTTTGTTGAATAAATAAAAGGTTTTTTGTGATATAAAAATGTAATGTATATCATAGTATGGATATTTTTTTGTTCTATCTTTATAAATAAAATGTATAAATGTATGTCTTATACAAATAAAGATATTGGGCAAACCGTGAGAGAGTGATAGTACAAATTGATGTAATTAAGTGGCGTAATCGCACAGAGGGCGCGGCTCTCTTTCGCGTATAGTTTTGTGGTAGCTCAGTAAACGAGTTTTCTTACAAATCGTTGGATCTCCTAGGTGTGCGTTATTCGTAGTTAGCAGTGGCTACAAATAACCGCCGGTTCCGTGCATCCTGTGTCCAGTCGCGTACTAAAGTGCCACCATCGCACTTCCCCCAACCCTTTTACTAGTAAAAGGGGTAGGCAGTGCCCAAAGTAACGAAAGCCGTTTATATAGTATTACCATCATATATAGATAGGGCCGTTAGAACTCAACCGACTTCATTATGTCAGGTAGGGACAAGGGGGAGCCCCCCCAAGTCAAGAGTACCACCGGATAAGAAAGGAGTGTTGGAGAGACCTTTAGTTATCAGGGATCTGGCGAACCCGGAGCGCACCAGAACGGTGCCAGCGTTCTCCCAGATTCCCATGAGGAAACCAGTCTCGCCGCGGAAGGAGCCCGCATTGGGTGCCGCGCTCACGCCGGCCGTGTCTGAGCACACGGTCAGGCGGGAACCGTCGGTGATTCATCGGAATCGGAACGAGGAATACCACCAGGTGACGACGAAGAAGGTGCTCAGAACACCACCGAAATCACCCTCTCCACCACAACCCCCCCCCCGCTCCATATCACCGGACCGTCGAAGCCAAGATTCGGCCCAGTACGAGCAGGGGGCGAGGAATCATACAGCTGGGGGTCAACTACTTATGCTATCCTCGCGGCATCCGCCGGCCGATCATCGCCGGTGGCAACAACCAACCCGTCCGGGCTCCCGCAGGATGATGGTCAACGATAACTACCAGCTATGCCCATATGGTAGCTGCACCAGCAGTACCGCGACCACAACCGGGGGCAGTGCCTACTGATAAGCCTGCCGACCAGGAGAAAACCAGATACCCACCTATAGTGGCTGAATGCCTACCGGATTGGACGAAGCATTTTAAGGAGCTCAACAGAATGTTGGTACACCCTCTAAATGCCCGTCCATTCGGGAAAGGCGTACGGTTCACACCGCAAAGCGCCAGTGAATTCCGTACAGTTCAGCGCTATATGGTGGAACTAACTAAGGAAACACCAACACTGTCGTGATATTGCTATACCCCGGAGGAGGACAAGCTCACTAAAGTGGGCATCCGGGGTCTACCAATGGGCACGGACAAGACAATAGAGGAGGCTATAAGGGCAAAAGGCTTCCCCATTAAATACGTCAAGGCAATCCCACCACGTAGAGGCAGACCTGGCTGCATCTACTTTGCCCAACTCGATCACCTGAGCCTGGAGCAGCTCCAGGACTTATACAAAGTTGACGAACTCCTCTTTATGAGAGGGGTTGTCATCGAGGCCTGGCAGAGAAAAGCAGGACCGGCTCAATGCCACCGATGCCAGGCCTCCGCCAACTGCTTCAGGCCAGTGAGATGTGAACGCTGTGCCGGGGAGCACATTGCGAGCCTCTGCCCTCGGGGTAGAGAGGAAGAACCCAAGTGTGCCAATTATGGCAAAAACCACACGGCTAACGACCGCCGCTGCCCAGTCCTGAGGAGGACTGCTAGGAGGCAGGGGATTACTATGCCGGGGCTACTCCCGGAGGACCCTAAAAAGATCCCCCAGAGTCGCCCAAAAGCTGTTACCATTCAGCAAGACGGGTGGGTTACCATCACAGGGAAGGGTAGGCAACCAGCCCCCCCCCCACCCGTAACACCTAAGGAAACGGTGGAACCCACAGTGACAAGGGCAACCACCGGGGTGACTCTACAGCCCCCCGCCAACCCTGCCACAGAATGGCAACCCTCCAAGAAGAGGAGGCGGGAGAGGAGCAGAAAAAAGTCGCAGCCTCCTCAGGCTGTCACCTCTACTCCGACACCATCTGGACCAGTAGCCTCACAGGCGCAGATTACTCGGGAGACGACCAAGAGCGTGGGTAGAGTGCCAGAAAGGGCTCTACCTGAACATAGAGCCCGCTCTACAGGTAGAGCGCGCTCTACCCACAAGCCAAGGGGGCAGGACCAGGACCAGCCACACCAGAGACAATTGCCAACGCCCTCATATAGGAGAACACCTGCCACCGGCCTCGAGACAGCAGACGCAATACAACGTTTGGTTGGTATTGCCATCGAGGTCGGCACACAAGTCCTGCCCGATATCAGAGACGGGACATATCCAGTGACGGCGATTATGAAGGCGCTGGCAAATCTACTAGCCCGGCATTACGGAGGAGTAATCTGCGCCTCCTCTATTGGAACCCGGGCGGAATACAGCAGAAGCTGCATGAACTC